GATCATCACCAAGGTGGTGGCCATGCTGCACACTGCCTCTTTACTGTAAGCTTCCACCTTTCGGTACCAATATCCACGGAAAGCTTCCTCGGGGAAAGCAAAAGCAAAAGCAAAAGCAAAAGCACAATCTTCACCCCCGGCAAGATCTACCCCCTCGCCCTCCTCCTCCGCCTGGCCCTGCTGCTCTACGGCACCTACCAAGACGCCCACTCCGCCCTCAAATACACCGACATCGACTACCTAGTCTTCACCGACGCGGCGCGCTTCACCGCCGCCGGCGGCAGCCCCTACGACAGAGCCACCTACCGGTATACCCCGCTCCTAGCGTGGGTCCTCCTCCCCACGACGTGGACCGGGGCGGGGTGGTTCGCCTTCGGCAAGGTACTGTTCGCGGCAGCGGACGTGGTCGCGGGGTGGTTGCTGGCGCGGACGCTGGCCGTGCACCAGGGGATGGCACCCTCGCGGGCGCTGCGGTACGCCAGCGTGTGGCTGCTGAATCCCATGGTGGCCAATATCAGCACGCGGGGCAGCTCGGAGGGGGTGTTGGGGTTGCTGACTGCCGGGGTGGTGTATTTGGTTCTTGGGTGCAGAAACACCGGCACCGGCACCAGCAGCACCAGCAGCACCAGCACTGGCACCAGCGGGGGGATCGGTCGAGTGATCGCCGCCGGGATCGTGTTGGGGATAGGCGTGCACGTCAAGATCTATCCGTTCGTGTATGGGGTTTCTGTGCTGCTGTTTCTGGACAGCCGCCGGCATCAGAACCACAACCAGAACCCGAAGAGAGGAACCGGATTCCTGCAACAACGCCTCCGAAACGAAATCACCCCATCCCGCCTCACCTTCACAGCCTCCGCCCTCCTCACGTTCCTGGGATTAAACGCCCTCATGTACCACCACTACGGCCGGGACTTCCTGCAGCACACCTTCCTGCATCATCTCACCCGCGTCGACCACCGCCACAACTTCTCGGTCTATGCTTCTTTGCTGTATGATTCTGCTGCTGCTGCTGCTGCTGCTGCTACCGCCGCAGGTGCCCCCGACGGTGCTGCCGGAGCCGCAGCCGCAGCCGTAGAGAAAGTCCGCATCGAAAGCTGGGCCTTCCTCCCGCAACTCCTCCTCTCCGTCCTCGTGATTCCGTTCGCACTCGCTAAACGGTCACTCCCCGGGGCCATGCTGGCGCAAACGTTTGCGTTTGTGGCGTTTAATAAAGTCTGTACGAGTCAGGTTCGTTGCCCTTGGCCCCCCCTCCCTTTTCTTTTGTGTTTGTGCTGTGCTTCACGGTCCAGCTGGGTTTCATAGTCCGGTTGAGCTGCGGCGAGCTGAGCTGAGCTGAGCCGAGCCAAACCGAGCCGAGCCGTACTGTGCCTGCTGTGCTAATCCACCGAATAACTGACTAACCGATGTGGGATGGATAGTACTTCCTCTGGTATCTGATCTTCCTGCCGCTGTATCTGCCGTACTCGTCTTTCTTACGAAAGCCGCGGCTCGGGGTGGGTGCGTTGGGCGCGTGGGTTGTTGCGCAGGTGTGTATTACCCCCTACTCCCTATTTCTTTCTTCACCCCCCTCTTCCCCCCGGGTGTGTGGGTTGGGTAAAGGGGGCGGGTGCTTGAGTGTCGATTTTATTGCGGGCAGGGAAACAGTTGCAATTGTGCTGATCATACTGTCAGGCCCTCTGGCTGCAACAAGGGTATAACCTCGAGTTCCTGGGGCTGTCGACGTTCGTGCCGGGATTGTTTGTGGCGTCGCTGGGGTTCTTCGCGGTCAATGTGTGGATTCTCGGGGTGATTGTGCAGGATGTTGGGGGGTTGGAGGCCGGGGGTGGTGGGTACTAGAGACTGAGCTACGCCAAGGAGTATGTATAGGGCGGAGTCCAGGGTCAGACATCAGTTGAGTCAGATGGCAGACACAAGTCAGCTTCAGTTAAATGTAACATTATACTATCTTAAGCAAATCAGCAATTGCTACAAACTCTCTCATCATGACGACATGGACACACTCCCAAACTACGGCTTCGACACATCGGCAATCACCTTGTACGTCGACGCATGGATGCTCAACGGCCGCGTGCGGGGATACACGGCCCCCACGATCTGCCGATTGTGCCCGTACTGCGGATAGATCCCATCCGACAGCTCCACGTAGTGCGCCTCGGGCCGCGCCTCGTGCAGCGCCTCCAGGATCCGCTCGCTCCACAGGCCCGTACACTCGCCGTCCACCAGCTGGAAGTACGGGTTCAGCGGCGGACACGCCGAGTCCAGGTCGATGAAGCGGATGCGCATGTAGTCCAGCCGCGCGTGGAGCTGCAGGCTGTGCACCGCCCCCAGCACCAGCTTCTCGAACGACCGGATGAAGTTGAGGTTCGTGATTCCCGAGAAATCGTCCAGGAACGCCAGCCCCGGGTGCACGTGCTTCTTCTCCCGGCAGCACGTCTTGACCACCAGGTCCAGCGACTTCAGCCGCGACTTGGCCGGCCACGAGGCCATGAACCCGCGCGTCGCCTGGAAGAGGCCCGCGCACACCTTGCCCGTGAACGCCAGGGACTCGAGCTGCGGCGCCGCTTCGCCCAGCAGCCGGCAGAGGTGCGGCGGCGTGATCCCGTCGGGCGTCCACCCGGTCTGCGAGGTGTCCTTATTATAAAATCCCTCCAGGCTGATGTTGACATGCACCAGCGACGGCGAGAGCCGCGCCAGCACCTCCGCGATGGTCTCGTAGCCCTCGATCTTGGGCTTGGCGTAGGCACAGTGCCACTCGCGCACGCCCGGCAGCGCCTGGGACATGTTGGCCCAGTGCTGGTAGTCGCGCATGATGTTCCACGCCCCGCGCATGACGAAGGTCTGGATGTCCGGCAGCACGGGAAGGCGCCGCAGCCCCGAGTGCCCGCACGGATCGTCCCGGAAATGGCGCACCATCGGCGGCCGCTTGCAATGGCCCCCCTCGAGGGTCAGGATGCGCGCCTGCGGGAAGCAGGTCTGCACGTGGGCGAACATCTCTTCCAGGGTGGCATTGTGGCTGGCATAGTGGTACCGATAGTCACTGCCGTGGTTGGTGTCCGAATCGTCCCAGACCATCGCATTCTGCAGGGCGGCCGGGTCGGCAAACCCCACGTCTTCGTTGTTGAACCGCCGCGTCGGGAGCTGCTGCGTGAACTGCTTGGTCGCGCGTTTCCCCCAGACCGGGATCCAAATCTCGACATGGCGGACAAAAGGGGCGAGACGGGGGTGCGCCCGGAACCAGCGTGCGCTTGCCGCCAACTCATCTGCGGTGCCCTTGATTTTGACTGTGACCCGATCAGAACGAATTCAAGAGCCTGCGAATGAAAGAAAAGAAACTGACTATGTCGGTAGATCCGATCCTGCACCAATTCTCGCCACACCCGGGTTATCAACGATAGATTCGATAGCGCCTTTCGACGGGGATGACGCAACGACCGGTTCCAACTGCGCGCGGACTTGCCCCAGGTGCAAGAGGTGAAAGCGGATGCTCGTTCCCCAAACAGGTAGTCCAGAACTGCCTCGTGGATCTCGATGGGCAGATCTTCGAACCGGATCGCGGAATGGCTGGACTGTGGTAGTGTCTCGACGCTTATCGGGGGCTGGCTATCAGTGTCCTCCATCTCGGTATCCACCGGGCTCTGGTGACAAACGACGAGCCCCACCGCGGCGGAGGGAACGGGTCCCTCGGGAAACTGGATCTCCGCGCTGGTACACCGGTTCGATTTGGCATATGGAAGGGTGGTCGAGACCGACGCTTTGGCCAGCGAGTTGACGGACACGGGACGAGGGGGAGGGAGCGTCGAAATCATGACGGGCGGAGGGAGTGATTGTGCGAGAATTTAGAGAAAAGAGGGAAACAAGAAAATAGTAAAAAAGGAAAGCAGCATGAAACACCCGGAGAACGCCAAGCAGGGGAGAAAGAAATCAGCAGTCGTGAGTTCGTTAGGCTAATCGAAGCCGGTGACAGGGAAGAGTCGATTTTAGTCTTTCGATAGTTCTGTGTGTCCAGATCAGAGAATGAAAGATGAGGAGAGAGACCGAGTTGTGTTGTTTTTTCCCTTTTCCTTCACAAAGTCTTGAGTGATCAGGTGGGCACTGCGGGATTCGTCAGACCAAGGCAAAATCGGATCTTCGTGTGCGACAGAAAAAAGGATAAAAATAGCGGGAGCAGATGATGGCTTTTCCCTTCAGATCGGGGAGGGGGGGAGAAAAACGAAAGCTGTTAAATTGAAGTTGAGGTTGATCGGCCAACGTGGTCCATGGCGGTGTTGATGCAGCAAGCAGTGTTGTTCAGTCGATAACCGGCGGTTAGGCCGTCAGGCAGCTGGTGCAAGTAAAGAGTAGGTGATTTAGATGGTAATCAGGATGGAGGGTATCAGAGAGGCAAACGAAGTAAAAGAAAACGAGCGCAACCAGGCGAGTGGGTATAAAGGAGATAGAGAGGGTGGAATTGACTAGGGGGTATCGAGTGAAGAAAATGGGAAACAGAAGACGAGAGGAAAAAGAAAAGAGGGGGAAAAGAAATAACTTTAAAAAAAGCAAGAGTAGGAAAACAGAGACGGGGAGAGGCTGCAGGAGGGATGGAAATGGGGGAAATGGGGAGATTTTCCAGGATGGATGGGAAAGTTGAAACCACCCCGAAACTGGCTGGATCTTGCCATTACTATCAACATCAACATCAACATCAACATCAACAATAACAATACGTATAAGCTCCTCAATCTCACACCACTCCCTTCACTCTCCTGCTCCTGCTCCTGCTCTTGGAACTGGACTACTGGCTCATAACATGGCCTGGTTGATTCTCGAAAATCTCGACTGTAATGATGAAATTGTTTACATCACCCTCAGGATCTCATCCATCGGCCTGTCTGTTTCAAGTATATCGACCAGCCCGTCCACCATGAATAAAACCGATTGATGCTATATCGGGATACACCATAACTTATCTATCATCTGCAGACATCCATATCATTCGCTTTTGGATAGATAAAGATTGCAATGAAGACCGCAGGCGGGTGCTAGCACAAAGCTCCTACACCGATCGATTCTCTCTCTCTCTCTCTCTCTCTCTCTCTCTCTCTATAATGGGAGTGATCAATCACCTGAGATCTTCAAATCATCGTACATCCAACACCAACACATCCACTCGCTCCACTTGTGCCCAACACCGTGCAGTACTTGCCAAGTTGTAGTGGACAGGATCGATAAGAAGGACCCAAAGTCCCAGTTGGCTTTTCCCCGCAGGGTGGATCTTCTTTGCACTTTTCCCTTTCCTTTCCTCCCATCCCCACATCTGGCCGCATCTTTAATTTCACACTTCACTTACACTAAACAATTTGAGTACTAGTCCACTACTTAAGAAATATTCATATTTTGAGTATCAGCGCTAACCCATGCACGAAAAAGCGCAAAACGGACACCTGCAAAAGAAGGCCTGCAAAGCATAATGAGAGCTATATACACGAAGAATCGAACCACATTCCCTCAGCATCATCTCCGGCGGCGGAATCGAAATCGAAGTTCATCGTCGCTGTCGGATTCCTCACGCTCTTCTCGCGTTCGTTTCTGCGTACGAGGCGCAGCCACCTCCGAGTCTGTGCGCGCTAGGGACTGTGAGCGAGACGCCACCGTACCGCTCGGGGTCATCGTTGGCTCTGGAGGGCTCTCTGCCACAACGGCCTCGGTCGATCGATGACTGTTGCTCACCCAGTAATGTTCGCCTATCCCAAATTCTTTGCGGGTGACCTCTTCTAAAGGAACTATGACGGTCTGGATGCGGTAGCGCGGCTGGCTAGGATCGCCTTTCCGTCGGAACTTTTTGAAGTTTTTGCGCCCGTTCCACCGATCGTTCCAGCGGCTATCCTCTGCATCGACATTGCGCGGCTTGATCTCCATCTCCTCCACAATAGCGAGACCTTTGAGCTTCTCAATATCCACCTCTTGCAAGGAGTCCTGGAGAGATGCCTCTTCCGCAACTCGGCGCTGACGCTGGGCATCCTCTTCGGCTTCCCGATGCTGTCGGGCGGCCTCGAGCACATCTAGTTTCTGACGCTTAGGTTTGCGAGGGGATTCCTCCTTGGGCTGGGACGCTTCATCGTCTCCAGATTGTCGAATGGTCTCAGTACGTCGACGTTTCATCGCCGCCGCACCTGGCAGTAGACTAGAGACGATATCTTCCTCGTCGTTCAAGCTGTTCTGCTGCGACTCCTGGACAGACGCAGGTTCGATTTCCATCGGAGGAGGAGACATCGCTGAGCTTTCCTCTGGCGCATGGGCTGGAATGGAGTTGATGTCGAAGCCATCATCAAATGTCTTCATCTTACTTACATAGCCCCGCACACGAGGCCGGGACTTTCGTGCGGGTGGAGGCTGCGGAGAAGGCTCTGCGTTTGCCTCGTCGCTAGCATCGACCTCCTCAAGTAGAGGCTGACAGAGCGGAGCCGCGTTGTTGCCCAGAATGGCGTCCAGAAATTCACTCTGCTCAATCACCCGCTGCTCGGTCAGGAGTGCAATCTGTTTACTGAGCTCCAGGGACCACTCCTCATGGCGACCCTTGGCACGGTACCGAACATGCACCACACCGCCAGGGCTATCTCGCTGACTTCCCAACCCTTTATTCCCCGCAGCGTTCCTCATGAACTGCGCAAATTCCTCAGCTGTAGTCACTCCGTCCTCGATCTGATATAGTAAGACCTTCCCCTGGCCGTTGGTCAGGGCATCTTCCAGATTCTCCATCTGTGTGGCATCGCCGAAAACGAAGGTGAACCCCTCGAAGATGCTCAAGCGGGCGGGGTTGGGCGCAAAGGCCTCTTTGGGCCGTTGAGTCGTTTCCTTTCCCGGAGGAGGAAGATGCTCGGCTGGGTCCGGCCATGCCGAGTCGAAGTCAGCCTCGAGAGGGCACAAGGACTCGGGGCTGTCCAGGTCACTTGGAGTCGCCGCATAAACCAGGGCGTCCACGTAGGTATCCTGAACAATGTGCTTGGCATTCACCAATGCTTGCAAGCCCTTCGCTGTATTCCGTTTGCTCTGAACCACATGCGTCGTCTTGTCGACTACGTAGGGTATGATCGTCTTGATATCGAGGTCTTCGAGTCGGGAGCGCACTCGTGCGAGAGGGTCTCTGGCTTTGAGCTCTTTGCTCGAGAAGGAAAAGCTCAGCACCGTGGGACACCATTTGATCCTATGTCAAGGGAAAGATGTTAGCTGAATCAGCGACAGGGGTAGAGCGCTTGTTCTCACCGCAGCATATGCTCATAGCGCCCCAGTTGCAGCTCGTGGTGCTGGCCCTCCAACTTCGTATTCCCACTTATCTTTTCACCATTAACCTTGGTACCCAACTTCGATCCCAGATCGGTAACAGTTATTTCTGACTTGGTGTGGAGATGTGCCTACACCCAGTGAGGTCAGCGGGGAAGTTGCCCAGCATCGAACCGCATACTTACCCCATCGCCCGGCTTGACAGGGGAGACTTCGATCAAGAGATGCTTCCGCGAGATAGTCTTATTCGCAATGGCATGTCTCACTATAATTCGTTTGTTGGCATGATCGGCATTCGATCCTCGACTTTCTGACAATGGAAACCATAATTACCTCCACCTTCTCTAGCCCGACCGAACAGATACTTCTTCCCCGGGCGCAGCCAGACGCGCTTCCCTATTTTGCCGAACAGTTAGCCTTCATTTTGCCCAAGTGAGGTAAACAAGACATACCCTCAAGGAAATCCCCTTCAGACTCAAGGATCCACATGGGTAGACGAATGGAACCAGCTGCTTGCACGGCCAGAAGAAGGCTGGCTAAGTGACCGGCTGAAAGAATGACGGCGGCAGCATTGCACGTGAAAGTCTTCCGCGGGGAAACCCGCTGGACTCCAGAAACACACCAACGCGTGATCACGTGCGCAGGCGTCGGCGGTGGCAGCTTTACCCACTTTGGGTAATAATTGCTTCGCGGGTGCCGGCGGAAAACGTCATCATCACCTTTTCTTTCAGACACAAGAAAGAAAATGGAGCCTCCGGGCGAGGAGCGTCCCGACAACAACAACAACAACAACAAGGATGCAGACAATGAATTCGAAACCCTCAAATATCAACTGCTTGGTCCCTCCCTGACCAAAGCCGGTCAGGATGCCGTGGATCAGCGCAAGGTGAGTATATCCCGACTTACTCGCTTTCTGCCATCTTCATACTGAGCGATTCCGATCCAAGGTGTCCGAAATCATCTACAACGCCTCCAAGGGCTCCAAGTTCTTCCACCACGAGCAGAACCGCGACAAGGTCCTGACGGAGAAGATCGCGCGGATTCTCCGCGAGAAGGTCCACCTCGCGACGCTCGATCTCTCGGCGGACCTCCGGCGCGCGGACCAGCTGATCGCAGAGCTGGAGCTGACGCGGGATCTAAGTCAGCACGTCGTGCACGTCGACTGCGACGCCTTCTTCGCGGCGGTCGAGGAGCTGGACCACCCAGAGCTGAAGACCGTGCCCATGGCCGTCGGCAAGGGCGTCCTGACGACCTGCAACTACGAGGCGCGCAAGTTCGGCGTCCGCAGCGGCATGGCCTCTTTCGTGGCCATGAAGCTCTGCCCGCGGCTGGTCTGCCTGCCGATGAACTACGACAAGTACAGCGCCAAGGCGAGGGAGATCCGCGCGGTCTTCGCGCGGTATGACCCCCTTTTCGAGAGCGCGAGCATCGACGAGGCCTACCTCAACCTGACAGCCTACTGTGCGGAGAACGGGGTGGGCGCGGAGGAGACGGTCGAGCGCATGCGCGCCGAGGTGCTGGCCGAAACCAAGGTCTCGGTCTCGGCGGGCATCGCGGCGAATGCCAAGCTGGCCAAGATCGCCTCGAATCGGAATAAGCCGAATGGCCAGTTCTGCGTGCCGAGCGAGAGAGAGGCGATCATGGCGTTCATGCGGGAGCTGCCGGTGCGGAAGGTGAATGGGGTGGGGCGGGTGTTTGAGCGCGAGCTGGAGGCGATCGGCATCAAGACCTGTGGGGATATCTTCCCGCAGCGGGCGTATCTGACACGCTTGTTCGGGGAGAAAGCGGCGTACTTTCTCATGCAGTGCTATCTGGGGCTTGGGAGGACGAAGATCCAGCCCGTGGAGAACTATGAGCGGAAGAGTGTGGGCACGGAGCGCACGTTTCATGAGTTGGGCGGTAGGGAGGAGCTTCGCGCGAAGTTATGGTCGGCGGCCGAGGAGCTGGAAAAGGACCTCGCTCGCACGGAGTTCAAAGGTCGTACGCTGGTGTTGAAGGTCAAGCTGGCTACCTTCGAAGTGCTCTCGCGGCAATGTCAGCCCTCGCGCGCGGTATTCATCGCCAAGGATCTCTATGCCTTCTCCTTGCCAATGCTGGAGAAGCTGGAGAAGGAGATCCCTGACATGAAGCTGCGATTGCTTGGTCTGCGCTGCACCAACCTCGTGAGCACCAAGAAGGTCGGCATCGAGTTCTTCGGGGTCGCCCCTCGGCCTAAACCAGCCGTGGAGCCGTCTTCCGACGACAATACCGACCAAGAGATCGGCGCGGAAGAAGCGTTTGAAAGAGCTGCACGTCAGGAGTTACACGACGAGATGAATGAGATTGAGAAGCTCAGTCAGGAAGTCTCCGAATCAGCAGATGTCGACGGCAAGCCGGCCCAGAATACAGCCCCAGCGTATTGGGATTGTCCGATATGTTTGAAACCCCAGGTGGCCGATGATCGCGTCTTCAACGACCATGTCGACTACTGTCTCTCCAAGCAAACCATCAAAGAGGCGGTCCAGGGTGCCGCTGAGCATATCCGCGAAGAAACCCCGCCGGCGGCGTCCAAATCACGCAAACGCAAACCTCCCGGACAGGAGTCGCCGGATCCGCGACAGAAGAAATTGTTCTTTTCTTGACTACTGCAGAGTGGGTATGATATGCGTCGATGTTGAGCTCCGATGGAGCGTTCTCCGATTTCAACCGTCATTTCTCGGCTGGTCCGTGGAAATTACACCCCAATCTGTTTACAGTAGTATTTGGCGTCACCACTCCTGTTTTGAGAGTCATACACTATAGACAACCACATATACCCCTTTTGGCTTCCTACACATTAACAAATTTAAATTGGATAAAACATATTTTGTTAGACATTTCCCTCAGAACAGTACTGAAGAACGGGGTCACAGCCCAGATTCAGTTGCTAACGAGTAGCACCTGTGAGCTCCATAGCATTTTATTCTGCGGCAAATATCATCCTCTACTATACAATCCACCCTCCCCCTCAGCAAGGTAATTCCCTCTCACCCAATCAGTCCGAAACACCGCTCTTCGTCCACCAGAAATCACACTCCTTGCTACTCCATTCATCATCCACCATCTGCGCCGTCACGCCCACACCCTGGCCCCCCGCACGCTCATCATTGCCCTCTCCGAGCACCATAATCCTCTGGGAGGCATCAAACGGCTCCCAGCGCGGTCTTCGCGCAAACCTCCCCTGCACCGCATTCGGATCCCCCCTGACAATAAACGAAGTGATATACGCATGAAACGTCCCGGCCATCTCCTCCTGCGCCGGCGAGAACGCCCTGACCTCGGGATCGAACGTCTCATACGCCATCTGATCCCCATGATTCGCCCCGCCCAGCACGGTCCTATTCAACGCCCACCGATACAGGAACACCGGCTCGCGTTGCTGCGGCTGCGCCGCCGACACAAACCGCGCCGTCTGGCGCACGGGACACGCATACGCATAGTGGCCGTACGCGGCCTCGACGCGCTTGAACTGCGGGCCCACGCTGATATTCCGGGTCTCGAGGTACGGGGACGCTCCGTCGACGGCCGGATCCGGGTAGAGCGCGTCGATGGCGCGCAAGTCTTCGGCGGTCCACGCGGGGAGGAGGGTGGCAAAGAAGGCGGAGAATTCGGCCGCGGTGGCCAGCGCCGTCGGCACGTAGTACGTGCCCTCGTTGGTGTTGAAGCCCGTCAGCAGCGCGATGTTCTTGTTCCAGGCGCCGGCGCGCCAGGCGTCGATGGGCCGGCGCTTGATGAGGTCGCCGTCGATGACGGGTTGGAAGGCCCACCGTACTGACGGGTTGTAGCGGTCGAAGACGGTGGAGGAGGCGGTGGTGATGGTCGCGGACGGCGCGGCGCGCAGGCAATTCAGGATGTTGGGGTCGGAGAGGGTGGGGTCGCATCCGGCTGCGGTCACGAACTCCCGGAATTGCGCTTCGTGTAGGGCCGCGTTGTGGGCGTGGACGGCGCGAGAGGTCGCAGCGCCGGATTCGATGATCGCCCGGTGGAAGTAGGTGTGTTGCAGGTCGGGGTTTAGGATGTGGTGGGCGATCTGGGGGTGTTTAGTCTTCGGGTTCTGGGGGGATGTGGTGGGTGAGTCTTACTGAGTGTGCGCCGGCTGAAAGCCCGATCAGAGTGACTTGGGACGGGTCGCCGCCGAAGCTGGCGATGTTGTCTTGCACCCATTGGAACAGGAGGAGTTGATCGTGCAGTCCCAGGTTGAGGATGCCTTCGTTCGCTGTGGTGGTCGAGGGGAGGAAGCCGAGAGCACCAATTCTGCAGTGTGTTAGTTGCGCATGTTTCTTGTTCGCCTTGCTAGCCTCGAGGGCGCATGCACTTGCCTGTAGTTGAAGCTGACCGCGACAAAGGGCTCGTCGGCCCAACCCACCATGGACGCTGTATTGTGCATCGAGGCTGGTCCGATCAGTTACCACTCATGCAACCTTGGAAGCCTGTCTTACCTGTTCCGCGGTTGTAAGCGCCACCGTGAACGTAGACAGCAACAGGGAGCTTGCCCTGCACCCCCTGGGGTCGAAAGACATTGACCGTAAGACAATCCTCGCTGCTGCCGCTATCCCCGGGGATCTGCAACAACTGTTTGCCTGGGCAGCTGTCGAACAATCAGCCGACGCGCGGTACAGATGCACTGGAAACATACCGTGGACCATAGCGACTGGCATCGACCAACTCGTCCGAAGCATTGACAGGGACGGCCCGACGGAACCTGCGATCGCCCACCGGCGGTAGGGCATAGGGGATTCCACGGAACGCGTCCACCGGATGATTCAGTGTCTCTGTCAACGTGGTGCCCACCACCGTTCCCTGGGATATGGCAACGCGGGGCCGATCCAGAAGGATAGCATTGTGTAGCGATGAGGGCAGCCAAGAGGCAAGGAGCGTCTGGAGCTGTTGAGTGCTGCCGGATGGCTGCTGGACAAACAGCAGCAGAATGACTGGCAGTGCAGCCAGGAGCAACGGTCTCGCACTCAGCATGGTCGGTCGGTAGTATCACGTATGAAGTGAACAAAATTTCGGAATCCTGACTGAACTGAATGCCGAACACGGTCCTTTTTATTGGGGAGTTGGGGAATCTCTCCTCATCGGCGATCACTTTTGCGTGCCGACAGACTGCGCTATCAATCACTTTCCCCGCTCCTCCCCTCAATCTTATCTCATCGCCTCCTCCATCTCCCGCTTATCTCGGACACTCTCCGAGATATAGTTGCTTCGTCACGGGCTTTTATTTGGCTGCTCCTTGCAAGATGGGTGGTTATCGGTCCTCGCTCGTGGAGGACACTGCTTTCGGCAGCTTGGTCCGGGTTGAGCACGCTTATCAGCTATGGGTGCCACCGATTTCCACAGAGCAAATCTCCAATGATGATGGGCTGAAGGTCATGCTTCGAGGAACTATGGGGAAATGCCCAGTACCTTATCTCAGGATAATAGAGGGGAGGCTGTCGAGGCGGGCTGCCTTGGGAGTATTTAGGGCATCCCTCATTTCTCGAGTGGTCTTTCAGGAGCCATCTATATCACCATACATCCATCCAAATGGCGGCAATCAATCCCCCCCAACAAAGAGTCAAGCACCAGGAAAAGGAGAAGCCCCCTCCTGTGAACGTATCCAAAGCCGACGACGTGGAAGTCGGCGAGGTCTCCTCGCTGGACGAGGCAGAGCTCTTCCTCCACGAGCATGGCGTCTCCCGCGACCAACTCCAGGCCATGCTCGACGATCCCATCCGGACGAGGAAGCTGAGACGACGTATCGATCTGATCCTGCTCCCGCTCATGTGCGGCACATACTGTCTCCAATACATCGACAAGCAGGTGCGTGTCTCCCGCGTGCCCAATGGCGTGGTGCTAAGTCTGCGCAGGCCTTATCATACAGTGCGGTGTTCGACTTGTTCACTGACGCCCACATCGACAGCAACCAGTACAGCTGGCTTGCCAGTATCTTTTACTTTGGTAGCGTGCTCCCGTCCCGTGGTATGCTGGCGGGTCGCTGACGGGGGTCAGGGTATCTGTTCTGGGAGTACCCGGCCAGCTACATGGCACAGCGGCTGCCGATTGGCACCGTTGTGTCGAGTTTCGTGTGAGTGCGTCGCCGAGACACGGAGGTGTGCAAGCTAACGAGGCGTAGGATCGCCTGGGGCGCGATTCTCATGATCACCGCGGCCTGCCACGATTTCACTGGGATGGCGGTGTGTCGGTTCTTGCTGGGGTGCTTTGAATGTATGTTCCTCCTGTGTACTGTACCATACCGTAGGCAGACCTAGCTGACTTCGTAGCGCCAATCACGCCGTGTTTCATGATGATCGTGGGCATGTGGTACGTTCGTCAAGAGCAGCCCTTCCGCGCGGGAATCTTCTACTGCTGCAACGGGGTGGGATCGATGGTATGCTGGCCTTTGTGGAATCTGCAGTCGACCTGAGACTCACTGACTGTGTAGGTCGGTGGACTGATCACCTACGGCATCGGCCAGGTGGACGGCTTTCCCGTCTGGCGCGCCGTATTCCTCATCTGCGGCGGGGCGACCATCCTCTGGGGGATCCTCATGCTGCTCTTCCTGCCGAACAGCATCCTCTCCTCGAAACGCTTCTCCGTGGAAGAGAAGATCATGCTCATTGGTCGCGGGAAGCAGAACCAGACTGTACGTCCGTCCCATCCCGATGTTGAGGGTGAATTGTTAATCGGATGGCTCAGGGTATCCTGAACCGCTCGATCAAGTGGTATCAGATCCGCGAAGCCCTCATCGACCCGCAAGTCTGGCTGTTGTTCCTATTCACTTTGCTGAACGAGACCGTCAACGGGGGTGTAGCCAACGTACGTCCTCTCCCCTCGCTTCGGAAGCTGACGACATGGAATACGAGATCCTAACCCCCCGAGGGAAACAGTTCGGCAAACTCATCATCCGCGGCCTAGTCTCCAGCTCCCTGCTAACCACCGTCCTGAGCATCCCCCAAGGCGCCTTCCAGGTCCTCTTCATCCTCTCGGGCACATACCTCTCCTCGCGCTTCAGGAACATCCGCACGCTCATCATGGCCGTGTACCTCCTCCCGACGGTGATCGGCGTCTGTCTCCTCTGGAAGCTCCCGCGGACGAATCGCTACGGCGTGTTGTTCGGATATTACATCGTAAGTGCCCTCCCCCCCCCTTTCTTACTTGACACGGGACCCAACCCCAACCATCATGCCAGGTGGGATCCTTCGTCACCTCGCTCGTCCTCGCGCTGCAAATGCCCTCCAGCAACATGGGCGGCTACACCAAGCGCGTCACGGCCACCGCGTTCGTGTTCCTGGCGTACTGCATCGGGAACATCATCGGCCCGCACGCGTTCCTGGCGGAGGAGGCGCCCGTCTACGCGACGGGGTGTAAGTTGATCCTGGCGTGTGCGCTGTGTCAGATGGTGATTGCGGGGCTGTTGCGGGTGCTGTTGGCGCGGAGGAATCGTCGGCGCGAGCTGGACGTCGCAGTCGTCGCCGAAACAGGAGAAGAAGAGGAGGAGGAAGAAGAACAAGAGGTGATGGCCGATCGGACGGATTTCGAGGTATGTCTGCTGCCTTTTACCTGTGCTTGCTCAGACTACAGTTCCCAGCTAACGGATGTGTGGGGCGTGCGTGTGTAGAATCCTCAATTCCGCTATGTTCTCTAAACATTGAACCCACGCATCTAAACATACACACAACCCAATCCCCCTCCTCTACAAGAGATAGAAAATCACATAGGCAACCCCGCCATCTCCCCGACCTTCCAATACCGTCTCATATTCTCCGCCCGCAACGCCTCCACCTCCTGGTCGAGGTGCTCAAACAACACCGTCCCAAACCCCTCCAACAACCGCTTCACCTCCCCGCGCTCCAGATCCGTCTCCCCCTGCCGACACCCCTCCAGATACCGCTCCAGCGCATCCATCCCCCGGTGGATCACCTTATGCTGGCCGACCAGGCTCAGCTCGCGCCGGAACTCGGGCATCCGGCGCGCCAGCACGGGGAAGATGTGCCGCTCCTCGATCGTGTGGTGCATCGTGAGGTGGTGGCAGAATTCCAGGCCCAGGGTGATCAGGGCTTTCGGGGGCAGGGTGTGTTTTTTGGTAGCTGGGGCGCACGCGGTTTGGAGGGTTGCGTAGGTGTGGCGGAAGTGGGTGTGCTTGTTTTTTTGGATGTTAGTATTGGGATGGTGGGGGGGGTGAGAGATAGGTCGTTGGGGGGGGGGAGTGGTAAAGTGTTCGGTACGGGTAAGGTAGGGTCAGGTGGTGTGTTGTGTTGTGTTATATGGTGGATGGATACATATAGTTGAGTTGTTGTGTGCTGGTACTCAGCGGGGAGATAACCCAGTAACCCACGGGGGAGGAGGGTAGGGTAGGGTAGGTAAGGTAGAGAGAGGGAACACCATAAGATATCTGCACGATTTCCCCGGGGAACATACAAACTGATCCATATGCTCCGCCAACCGATTATACACCCGGAACTCCTTCGCGGAGAGCGGCGGGAGGGGGGCCTCCTCTGCTTCCGCGGGCGGCTGCTCACCGGGCTTGGGCTTGGAGGAGTCGGGTGTAGCTTGCGCAGCAGCAGGCGGCGGCGGCGGCGGCGGCGGCGGCATGGTGGCTATCTTCCGTTGATAAGGCACACACTCAAGGGAAACGCCGGCGGGGGCTATCAGTGCTGGTCTGCGCGAGCGAGCAGCAGCGGCAGCAGCAGCAGCAGCAGGGCGAGTGAGGCGGGAAATACTAAAGCGTGATCGTGCAATGAAGCGCATGGGATTCGAATCGGAGAGATTGTCAGCAATTGTAAGCAGGAGATTAGAATATTGATTATGATTGTGATTATGATTTGGATTAGTATGGGGGCTGATGCGGTTGGATAAGAGAGAAAAACTACAGACTTTCGGCAGTTGGAGGCGTCCGTCAGGGACCGGGGCCGTGGGGCAGGGGTTGGATTGGGCTTAGTGTGATGTGGTGGATGGGTGGGCTGGGCGGTCTGCAGAGCCAAGGACCGGAAAGCTAGTGGTGTGAATTGCCGGCAGAATAAAGAAAGGGGATTCAAGCACCTCCACTGGGCAGACACCGGAGGCTACTCCGATATTGACCGCCCTTTTTTATGCTAGACTAAAGTACCATACACTGAACCCATTCAGAACTGGGAATTCCCAGTCTGCAAAAGATCTCCAATGTCCAATGAACAGTTCTGAAAGTAGTTTAGCACGAAAAGACAATACAATCTTCCACAAAAATTGTCATGGACAATGTACTCTCCGTAGTACCATCCCCCCCGAATCAATTCACCCACCACCACCACAGCCATATAACCACCACCACCAGAAAGCTCCCCCAATCCCAATCCCAATCCCAATCCCAATCCCAATCCCACTCCCCATAGACATAAGACATGGACATCGTCCGCGGCGGCTGGGTCCTCCACCCTATTAGTACCGCCCGCCCGCAGCCATCCGAACCCTCCTCCTGCGCGACAACCCCCTCGCCCCCACCCAGACCCCCGGGGCTGAACCTCCCGCTCGACAAGCAGACAGATCTGATCCAAGTGTGCATCGACTTCCGCCACTACACCAAGGGAACACAGACGCCGGCCCGATACTGGGACCGGGTGGCCGATGACTTCCGCCAGGTTTTGGGTCGGCCCACCATGACCCCCGCGGCGGTCGAGCAAGTGGTCCGCGCGATCGAGGACGACTACGTGCGTTGGGTCGAGGCGTGGGAGCAGGGCCGGGCGGCGGACAGGGGTTCGGAGTATGAGGGGTGGTTGCGGATGTGGTTGAGGGGGCGGGATGGGTTTTATGCGAAAATCGCGGCGGCGCGGGAGGAGGAGAGGAGGGGAGTGGAGGGGGAGGGGGAGGGGGAGGGGGAGGGATGGATGGAGCAGCAGCAGCAGCAGCAGCAGCAGCAGCAGCAGCAGCAGGAGGAGGAGGAGGAGGAAGAGGCGCAAGAGCGCCGCGATCAACTAGCCATGCTTCGTATGCCTCATGAGAAACGTCGCTTTATGGCCTCCAAGGCCTCCGAGGCCTCCGACGAGGTGCCACACAAAAGACAGAGGCGCGCAAACCCGGAAGAATCTGAGAGGGCGCGCTTATTTCGCGTGATTGCTGACTCGTTGGAAGCTGAAAGCTCTTCCGAGCGCAAGGTGAAAGAGATGGAACACGAGATGGAAACCATGCAGCACAAGTTGGATAGGATGAACCACAAGATAGGCCTTATTCTAAAACATATCAAAAAATAGTGCAGATATGGAGATCTTGGAGAACTTTTCGGCCCAAACTCCTGCCGTACAACCACAATGTCAAGAAGCGGAATATACAATGGACATGTCAACTAAAAGATGGAAATCGAGATATCAATTCATTAGAACTACCTATGTTTACAGTATGTTCCAGGTCCTCAATGGATGTTTGCCATCGCAACAGTTAAGTTGCAAGACACACATCTAGTACGTCGCTGGGCGAGAATTTCTCATTTCAATTTCAGCACTTCTTCGGCACAACCACAGTCATGGACAGGCTGGATTGCAATTTGACATCCGTGCTAGGGAACCTAAAAGAAAAGAGAATAAGGTGTCAGGTCAATGTATTAAAGTATGGCGGTCATGGCGACGAAATAAGGTATAGAACATGAGCCAGCCGCGGTCACTGGGTAAGTATCAAGACATGTCGTAACTCCGTAGAAGATATTGGAACAATCTACAGTTCCTGGTGGGCGAGCTCATTAATATTCTCGGGCGGCCGGAAGTTGCCCTTCCTGAGCTCTTGCCATGCGAGATCGAACCGCGCACCCAACATCCAAGCCGTGCCAATCTACAACAGTCAGTAAACAATCGTGTGAGAGACCGAGAAGGACATACCATAACAACCGAGACGATGACCACAATCACCAGCATGAGGCCCATCATAAAGCACACATCCTGGCGCGTGTCGGCCTCTTCCTCTCTCTTCTTACGCTCAGCCTCAGTCATCTCGCCGGTGATACGTCGCTTAGCCACCTCGGCGGACTGGGTGGGGAAGATCGTCTCAATCCACTTCTCAATCTGCCAAGTATTAGCAAGAGCTCACTTGAACCAAGGGGAGTCAACATACCCGTCCGCAGACCAGACTGATCTTCAGGAAGTTGGGATCCTTAGGAGTGTTCTTCTTGTGGATCCGACGGGCGTAGACACGGAAGGTGTCACTCAGTACCCGCAGGTTCTGGGTGGATTCGAACATGAGCTTGCACGCCTCACCCTTGGTGATCTTGATGTTTCTTTCGAAGATCGCCGGGTTGCGGAAGCACAGCTCCAGGGTAGCGATGGCCATGGACTGCGGGATGGCACAGAAGTTGAAGATACTCTGCTCCCGGAGACCAGCCAGATAGAACAGGCAGTCCTCCACATGTTCCAATGCGTTTAAGACCATCTCGGAGCCGCAGTTAAGCGCTGCCTCGCGATGCTGTGGGTCAAACAAATCGTCAAAGTTGGTGACGTGCTTCGACCAAATTTCTTTGGGCCAGAAGCGACGCTTGTCGTCATTGTCCTCTCGGACGTCACGGATGATGTTGGTCTTCTGCAGGAAGAGACCCATCGACTTGTGCAGACGAGTCCGCTCCAGGAGAGCCGGATTGGCAAACTCGGCCTCGACAAACAGACGCGTCAAGCCTTCGCCCACCAGGCCAGCCACGTACCAGCAGTATTCATCGTACTCGGCCGTGGTCTTGACGCTGGCGTCCTCGAATTCGGCCTTCCGGCAGTAGTCGGCCATTCCGTTGCCCATCTTATCGGTGATGTCCTTCACGATCGCCTGATAGGCCGGCTTCATGTTCTTGAATTCCGTGATGACGTTGTGAAACTGAACCAGCAGCTCACGGTCCTTCTCCTCGGGGCGGTTGCCGGTGAAGGTCCAGCCATCCTGCTCGAGGAAATCCTTGAAGCCGCGGAGGAGAGGCTCCTTGGTCTCCAGAGGGATCGAGGTGTCATCTTCGATGGTGTCCAAGCCGCGCAGGACCAGGTAGAAAATGCAGACCGGCAGCAGCAACTCGGGATGCAACTCCTTGATGACGGCGCTGAAGCTGCGACTGGTCAAGTCGAGGAATTTGAAGCAGGCCTTCTGGGTTTCGGTCTCGTCCTTCTCATTGCGTTCGTGAACAGGTGAGTGCCAGACTTTCCTATTACCACGGGCACGGACCCCTTCGTAAGCGTTGGCACAAACACACGACCCATCATCACCGCTCAAGGACGTGAGCCAGTACTAACCATTGCACTATCGACCTCAATTCTGAGGGGTGAAAGGTGTAGTAGAAGATGTTCGAAGCGAGGCCCATTGTGAAGACTGAAAAAACGACGGGGTATTACGACCGGCGAAAAGCCAGATTGACAACGTGAGGCAAGGATTATTATGGGGTCAACAACAGCAGCAGGATAAACAGTAGTGAATCAAGTGACCGAATCAACGGGAACCCAGAAGATTGAAATGATGATCGTGGTACAATAATGTACAGACAGCTATGAGCGAATGGCCTCAGTAGCAGCAAAGGGGACGCGGAGAGAATGAGACGGAGGGGGAGGGGAAAGACGGGAGGAAGGAGGAAGGAGGAAGAAGGGAAAGGCTGGAGAGGAGGATGGAGAGAGAGAGAGAGAGAGAGGGAGGGAGGGAAATTAAATTGGGCGTAAAAAAGGGGGTGGGAGGAGGGAGGGAGAGAGTGAGAGAAGAAAGAGAAGAAGAAGAAGAGAAGAGAAGAGGAGAAAAAAAAACAGTTGGTGGAAGAAAAGGTGGTGGATGGAGAGGAAGAAGCGAAGAGGAGAAAACCAAACGAGGCAATTCATTTTTCCCGCGCCGAGAAAGAGAGAAGAAGCGGTGCAAAGATGCAAACATCGCCTCTGACTGGCTCCGATGAGCCCCCGGGGGGCTGTGACCCGGTATTTACCGCATCCTTCGCCCGAGACTTGGCAGAGAGCGGGTCTTGTTGCCTCTTGTTGCCCCGTTGTGACCATACGTGACGGTACCTCTACCGCAACAGAGACCAAAAAAACATCGATCGCTCCCCCGCCATGACGAAAGGGTCGTCGCAAGGCATCCATCTGCCTTTCTCATGAAAAAATAGTCCCAATCTGACTCTACAACTGGTTGAGCTTCTACCTTCACAGATCAGATCTTGTGTGGTAGTTGACAACTTACCCTGCAGCAGCCTCTCCCAAGACAGACTCACGGCTGCATCTCTCCCCCTCTCCGCTGGCTGTTCTTGCTGCAGCCCAAAACCGATAGCCAAATCATCATCCCTCGCGTGGTCGGGTAAAAGCTTTGCTTCATCCCACTATGGTTGTCGACACTACATACTACGACGCCCTCGGCGTTCCTCCCACTGCGACTGAGCTGGAGATCAAGAAGGCCTACCGGAAGTTGGCTATCGTCACCCATCCTGGTTCGTCCGCGTGGCCCTGTGTTGTCACCCTCCGAGCGAACTGACCCTTTGGCAGATAAGAACCCCGGCGATGAAACTGCACATGCGCGCTTCCAGGCGGTGAGGACGACCCTCGAGAGATAATCCCGCTGATACTAATCCTGCCCGGGCTTGACCAGATTGGAGAAGCCTACCAAGTTCTCAGCGATGAAGAGTTACGCAAACGCTACGACAAGTTTGGCAAGGAGGATGCCGTCCCCGGCGGCGGTTTCGGTAAGTCGACGACGGCACAAGATACGCGGACAGCACTGACTCTGGTCTTCCAGAGGACCCGGCGGAATTCTTCAGCATGATCTTCGGTGGCAGTGCGTTTGTCGATCTCATTGGTGAGATCTCGCTCATGAAGGACTTGACCGCGACGATGGATATCACCATGCAACAGATGGAGGAGGAAGAACTGGCCGCCTCCGCCGAGGAGAAACTCAACATTCACGATGAGGAGCAAGCCGCTCGCGCCTCTGCCGAGGGTACGACGCCAACCGCCACTGAGTCCCCGGCCGCCGCACCCGAGAAGCCCGCCGCTGAAAAGCCCGCCGCTGAGAAGCCCGCCGCGCCCACCTCTTCCAGCTCCGGTGCTAGCACGCCTCGCCGCTTCATAGGCCAGCAGGCCATCATGGACAAGTCCGAGGAGGAAGCGCGCATGGAGGCAGCCGGTCTGTCTCAGGAAGAGAAGGAGCTGCGCAAGAAGGAGAAGAAGAAGGGACTGTCGAAGGAACAACAGGAGCGGCTGGCAGCCTACGAGCTGGAACGGAAGAAGGCCCGCGAGGAGCGCGTCAACACCCTGGCCACCAAGCTGATTGACAAGATCAGCGTGTGGACGGAGACCGACAAGGGCGCGGACGTCACCCGCGCCTTCGAGGAGAAGATCCGCCTGGAGGTGGAGAACCTGAAGATGGAATCGTTCGGTTTGGAGATCCTGCATGCGATCGGCGCCACCTACGTGCAAAAGGCTACGTCCTTCCTCAAGTCGCAGAAGTTCTTGGGTATCTCCGGCTTCTTCTCGCGCCTGAAGGACAAGGGCACTCTCGCCAAGGAGACCTGGACGACTATCTCGACCGCCATCGATGCGCAGATGACGATGGAGGAGATGGCCAAGTTGGAGGAGCGCGGTGGAGAGGACTGGACAGACGAGAAGAAGGCCGAGTATGAGAAGAAGGTGACTGGTAAGATTCTGGCGGCCGCCTGGCGTGGCAGCAAGTTCGAGATCCAGAGCGTGTTGCGGGATGTCTGCGACCAGGTCCTCGGCGATAAGCGCGTGAAGCTGGACAAGCGTGTTGAGCGCGCCCACGCTTTGGTGATTGCGGGCAACATTTACTCCAAGGTGGGTGGCGATCTACTTGCGCAGTTATCATGGAAGCTAATTTGAACTACAGGCCGAACGTGACCCCGAGGAGGAGGGTGACTTTATGGCATTCGAGCAGTTGATGGCCGAGTCAATGACGAAGAAGGGCAAGGATGAGAAGAAGAAGAAGGGCAAGCACGGGCATTTCCACCACCACCACGAGGAGGAGGCCGAGGCCACGGCTGCTTAGTTCTACTTGTGCATGTGTATTGATTTTGTCCCAGTATAAGGCTGTCTGGTTCCGACTGGATCCTTGGTTGGATATGGGATGTTTCTCTGTAGCGACTGGTATTTTGATTTTTCCACGCGCACCGACGATGTGACCCACCCATACTTAGATGGATTTTAATAGATTGCTTTTGCTTGAGGAGGTGATGTGGTGCTTAGAGTAGGGATGATCCAGAGCGGTGCTGATTTTGATGTGCCCTGGTAAGATAGTAAAAAAGTGAGAGTTG